GTGCAGACCTCAAAGTATGTAGCTGTTCGGTTTCATACTTGTCTGGCAATTCTAATAGCCAGAAAAGGCTTTTGCACATGTACAGAGGTTTCTTCTAACTCCTCTGTTCAGCTACTGGAATTACTGGTCAAGACCCCAAGTCCATGATAAGTGCCTTGTTGAGGAGGACTGTATTACGTATTCACCTCAGTAAGAACTGCATCATCTCCATGGTACAAATCACCTTATCAAGACAAAGACAAACCACTTTGTAAAGGTTTAGAAATGGCTGATTTTAGACCCTTCCTGCACAAGTTTTCAATATAGAATTGTACCCCTGTGTTGCTTGCTCACTCTGGGGTGGATGTCCCAACATGAAACAGAACTTCCACCTAACTAAATGTAATGTGTGGTAGAATCAATCAGAGCCGCAACATGAATTTAATCTCCCCTTAGCGTTAAACATGCATCAGGCATTTCAATTAAATTTTAATCAACTTTCTCAAAAACACTGTTGCAGTTGGAGTTAAAAACAACAACATTGTGTTCAGTTATTGTTGCTTCTAGACCCAGTTGCTTTCAATACTCTCTAATCTGTGTTGAGAAACAAAATGCAAGGTTTCAAAAAATCCAACAGTTTGATAGCTCAGTGTTATGTGTTCCACAACCAAGCCTCTTCAATTATCATTTGTATTCACACCAAGACAGAGCTGTGTTTGTAGGTCAAGGATGCTAATATGCACTGACCTGGGTAGATTTTTCTTCCCTTAAGGCAATAAATACAGATTTAGCTAAAGTGGCTAAATCTGTATTTATTGTATTATATTCTGAGAAAAAGAAGGAGAATATAAAGCAGCTTTCTCCAGTCTGGTGTCATTCATATATATCGCATATACAACTCTCATAACCTCCAGCCCTGGAAATAATGGGAGTTGTACTCCACACATGAGGAATTAGTAAAACAAGTATGAAAAGAGTAAGCAGGTTAGATTAATCCCTGAATGGAGCCATGTACGTGGTGTTTTTCCCCTTCCCAAATAGGAGCCACGAGTCCTAGACAATACAGAGTATCCAGTGGACTGACAGACTGGACAAACAATACTACATTTGTATCTGGCCACCATCCCAAACAATCCAAGAATAAAGATGAGGTTGTCTAGTTTCAGCCTCCCCCTCCCCTCCAGCTGTCCAGGTGCTTGGCATGCAAAATCCTGAGTTGCATCAGGTGCCCTCCTAGCTGGAACAAGGAATCAGTTCCGTTTAAAGAATGCCATTCAGAGCCACCCACTATGCCAGTAGCAATGCGCAAACTGTCCCCTGCTCCATCCCATACTTCCAAAGAAATTAGCAGTTAAAAGGAAAGTTATACACAGGGAGAAATAATATGTAAGAAAAGGTAGCCAGAGGATCCTTTTTCACTGTGTGCTGGAATTTCAGTTCAAACTAGTTTTCACTGCCTATTGGTGATGAACATTTTAGTTTTCTGAATAGACAGATATTTGGCTGGGACAGGATGGGAGCTATGTTGTGAGTGTACTGAAGTGCTAGGGGCTGAAATGTCATTGGCTTTTGTGCAATATGAGCAGGATTAGAAGGCAGTCAACTCAGTAATAAACTAAATCATTTTACTGGAAGTCCCTAGGATTGAATCAGAAGTCAGTGATGTGGGAAGCTGCTTGTAAAGCACTATTTCTATCCTATGTTCTACTATATAGCATTCAAATATGTTTATATCAAACTAAATGCGTTAGGGGAATGCATATAAAATTAATATGAATGTTTGTGCTTTTTCATGTGTTTTTTATGTGTTTTTTTTAAAAAAAACATAATAAAACTGAAGCTGATGTGGAAACAGAGCCTGATAGACATAAACTTAGGAAAGTGAGAAACTGGGAAACTGAAATTCATAATTGATTTATTCCTCCCATCACCCGTCTGAAGCTTCAGATATTAGCAAAGGCTGGCTGGCTAACTAAATTACTGGCACTGATTGTACTATCTGAAACTGTTTGGAGACAATGTGAGAAGTCAGTGATATACTAACCTTTCTCCAGCCTGTAAAATATGCTAATTGGAACCTAGAATGTTGTCGCTGTGGATTATAATTTGAACTACAACACTGTTTAGTGTTGTATCATCTACATCTCTTAGAGTATCTGTAGAGTGGTTGTTCACACATACAGGTAGTCCTCACTTAACGACTGCCCTGTTTAGCATCTGTTTGAAGTTGTGACAGTGCTAAAAAAGTAACTTTATGACCGGCCCTTGCATTTATGACCACCGCAGCACCCCTGCAGTCACATGATCGAGATTTGGGTGCTTTGCAACTGGAGGGCATTTACAACCATCATATTGTCCCACAGTCATGCAGTCATCATTTGAGAGCTTCACAGCCAGCTTCCAACAAGCAGAGTCAATGGAGAAGCCAGCAGTAAAACTGCAAGTTGCGGTCACATGATGTCTCGCTTAATGACAGATAGTTTTACAGATAATTTTTGTGTTACACCCTGTCAATTTGCACAACTTATATTATCCGTACTGAAGCCAATGAGAATTGAACTCCAAAGCAACTAATTGCCTACCTCTACATTCACCCATAAATAACTAACACTGAAGCCCCATCCAGAATACCTAATACTTAGTGCAATGGTCTGCAGGAGGAAAGACTTCATGTGTAAGGCTGCACGTGCATTGGCCAGGACCCTATATACTCACATGGGAACCAATATTTATGTAGCTGAACTCACAATTGTCTGTGGGAGAAAAATGTCATATTAATGCTAGCAAGGGGAGGACTTCTCCAGAATGCTAAAATGGTTAGCACTCTAGGTAGAAAAAGGACTTGAATGAATGACTTGACCAGGGTTTGAATACTTTCCTCGTCTGTACTGTTATTGTGAACACAGGTTTTCATATGGTTCTACTTACTCAAAAATAGGTTATTACTGAATGTTTGATGATCACAAGAGGTTCTCCACACATCTCACTAACAGGAGATTATGCTAATGTATCAGGTAAATGAACAGTCTTAGATACAGTTGGCACAGAATACTGGCCAGAATACTGGTGTATACCGGCACAGAAAAGTGCCAGAATATTGTATTTTTAATATATCTGAACAATTATCAAAGACATGGGAAGTAATCATATTAATTCATTCTGATTAATATAATTTAAATGCCATTACATTTAAATACAAATGAAAGTACATTTTGTTTCTGCCCTGGCTGTATTTCTCTACTCAGTTCTCTTCCAACTATTTTTTTTTTTTTTAAAATATGGCCCTGTGGAATGGCTTGGAGGCCTAAGTTCAAGTCCCCATTTAACCCAGCCATAAAACTTGCTGTGTGACTGAATCCCTCTCAGCCTCACAGAGTTGCTGCAATGATATGGTAGAATCCCATCTTGATATCCTTGGAATAAATGGTAGCTTTTAAACGGGGTTTAAACGGGGTTGAAAGCGCTGAACAACTTGGCAAACTACTTGGGAGGCAGCTATTTGTAGAGTGCTGATAATCAGGTCCAAGATAATGTGACACTTTTCCGTGACAAGCCACAAGTAGGAGGCTTGCAGCTTTTTAAGAAATTATCAATTAAACTCCAAGCAACATGTGAAGCTCAGTCCTTTCTAGCTACAGCCTCTCTTCCTCAAGGTCTTGCCCCTTCTCACAATTTCCCTTGTGCACCCATGCCTCAGCAGAGATCTCCCAGTCTCCCTAGAGTGCTGGTGCCCCCCAGATGTGTTAGGATTGCAACTCTACGGATTCTCGGCCAGCATGGCCTTCAACAGTCCTCAAATTTAGTGTGTGTGGGTGGTTGTATACAAACGCAGAGCTTTCTAGAACAGGTTTGCTGGTTAACTGCAATACCGAAAAGACATTAATGGGGCGGGAGGAGCAGCAGGAATCAGTAAATAAGGTAGGGGTTGTTGTAATTATTATTGGAACTGTGAGGAAAATAAGTTTTCAGATGGGAACACATAAATTCAATTGCAACGTAAGGAATTTGCAATAGCCTTGGAGTTGGCTTACACCAATTTTATCAGAGCATTCCCATGACAACTCATGATCCTGTCCTGGCATTTTGGCACTCTAAACTGCCCCCTCCCTTTGATTTGTTTCTTTTCTCTTAGAACAATAGTTTTCTTTGAAACTGATAGCAGAGGGAGAAAGTAATTCGAGATCTATTATTTACGTATGTATGCCTGCATCATCATATGAATATGTATGTATGCATCATTTTTCCCTTCCCCTTTTCTGAAATGTATAAATGTTAGTGCATCTATTTTGTTTGTAGGGGTGTCTCTCACTATCCCTTGGTAAGGTCCCCCTCCAGTAGTACTGTCTGATAAACACTGCAGTGAAGCTTTGATTATTTGCTTTTTGATCCTATGTTTTGATTCGATGTTAGTCTATTTTCCTCCATAATCCTTTTGATAATGCTTCCTTCCCCCCACTCAAACCCCAGTCTACTAGTTGCTGTTCTTCATGGTTTATTTGCAGACGTATTCAGTGTTCGAATGCATGTACAAAAGGCTGTGGGGTTTTTGGGGGGGGGGGTCATTTTTGACATTGTGGTTTATATCAGATGCCTATATTCATAGAGAGACTTCAATTGTAAAAAAATAAGATTTAAAAAACTTCATATATAACTTTTTCCATGCATACAGCAACCTAGTCAAAATGCAAAGAATATTATGCCTCTTTTCAAATTTTCCTTTTGTATAAGGACATTTGCCTGAAGCATGACACACATTTCTGAATCATAGGCCATGTGGCTAAAGTCTGTGTCAGGACTTTGTAGCTAGGAACAAAAAAGCAGTTTTGCTAAGGGAGAAGAGCAGCAAGTAATTTTAAACACTGAATCGTCATGAACTTCCTGGTCATCAATCAGTTGATAGCACAGAGTTTTCACCTTTCTCTCCTGAGTTAGCACTGTTCTCGGAAATGCTTCATTGTCACAAGCCCTATTAGTTGGCTTATCTTCCTGTAAGTTAACTGCTATTTTCCTTTTCCTTCCAGGATTGACAAATGTTCCCCAAGTCCTTAAAATGGAGATTTCTTTCAACCCTTCTGATCCTAACTCATATAAGACATACACAGACCTACTTGAGAAATTCTTGAAGGATTATGAGAAAGAAAAACAGCAAGACATCCATTTTGAGAACTGTGGCAGTGAGTAGATTTGATTTTGTTGGCAAATATTTTAATTTATTTTTAATTTGATTCATCTGAAAGTTTGTTGATGGTCTTAAAGCTAGCAGTCTCTTGTATATCTAATATCCCAAGACTGACCTTGGACAGGCTTCTTTGTAAAGAGACAAGGTTCCTATAATCTTCAAGCTGCTTATTTCTACATGCAATCATTTTTAAACATACTCAGATTAAGAAAAATGTATGGTCAGGAGGATTGTATGTTTTGGTATCAGTGTGTGTTGGGATGTAATCACTGTAAAAAATTATCTTATACCAGTTAGAGGAACAGCAGTGATGCAAAACTGTAAAATACATATTACACTCTTATTCTGCTTAAAAATAAAGTGGAACAGGAAATTTGTTGCTCTCTGGATCTTAAGTTAATAAGCACTACATGTAAATTTTAAAAAATGTGGTGTTGACTAAAATGTATATAAGTAATATTGACCTCTTCTTCTGTCTTCCCTGATGCATACCATCAGCTGAACCTTCTCCTCCCAAAAACAGAGGACCCTTTGATGGCTCTCAAGGTGGCCTGCCATCTTGCAAGTTCTATCGCAGTTGGCTGGAAAATTGCTCTGGGATAGAAGATCCTACTTTTGGTTACCAAGATGGCAAGCCATGTGTCATCATCAAACTCAACAGAGTTCTGGGATTTGTACCTAAGGCAAGTATTGTTTTTCTTTTCATAAGGTATGAAATAAAAGTAGGCAACATGATTTCATAGGGAAATTTATTTATTTATTTATTTATTTATTTATTTGCTTATTTATTTATCAAATTTGTATGGCCGCCCATCTCACAAAAAAGTGACTCTGGGCAGCATACAACACTTAATTAAAAAACCAAGAAATATATTTAAAACATTCATTATTAAAAACTATAAAAAGCACACAAACAAGAAAGGATGATGTTAGCCGCAGTAAGGGAGCCATTGCAAGATCTCCCAGGTCCCCTGGGACCACAGGCCTGATGGCATAGCCAGGTCTTGAGCGACTTGCAGAGAAGGCCAGTCTCCTGGGACCCACCAAGTGTAATTCCCTGACAGACGGGACCCACAGCATGCCTTTTCTGCCAGATCTGATGGGACAGGGGGGAGTAATCAGGGAGAGGTGGTCCCTCAGATAATCCAGCCCCATGTCATGAAGGGCTTTAAAGGTGAAAACCAGCACCTTGAATTGGACCCGGAAGCAAATTGGCAACCAATGCAGCTCGTGGAGCAGGGGTGTAATGTGCACTGTTCTAGGGGCACACATAACTGCCCATGCTGCTGCATTTTGCAGTAGCTGAAGCTTCCAGATACTCTTCAAGGGCAACCCCATGTAGAGCGCATTACAGAAGTCCAAATGGGAGGTGACTAGGGTATGAGTGATAGTGAACAGAGCCCCCTGATCCATTAATGGGTGCAACTGGTGCACAATATGAAGCTGGGCAAAGGCCCTCCTAGCCACAATTGCCACCTGCTCTTTGAGCAGGAGTCATGAGTCCAGGATGGCCCCCAAGTTGCATACCGGGTCTGTCTGGGGCAGCGCCACCCCATCCAGCATCAAAGATGGCATAGTCCTAGAACCGCTAGGCCCCAAAACCCAAAGCCACTCAGTCTTGCCAGGGTTCAGTTGAAGCCTGTTCCCTATCCAGACCCTCACAGCCTCCAGGCACAGGGATAAGGTGTTCACAGCGTTGGTTAATTCGTCAGGGGCAGAGATATATAATTGGGTATTATCAATGTACTGATGATATCTCACCCCATAGCGATGGATGAGCTCAGCTAGCGGCCTCGTGTAGATGTTAAATAGGAGAGGGGAGAGTACCAAATCCTGTGGCACCCCACATAGTAGGGGCTCAGGGCAGGATCGTTCCTCCCCAACTACCACCAACTAGAAACTGCCCCGGAGAAAGGAGGTAAACAGCAAAGCACCATGCCATCTACTCGCAATCTTCTGAGCCAATCCAGAAGGATACCACGGTTGATGGTATCAAAAGCTGCCAAGAGGTCAAGTAGGGCAAGGATGGATGCAGAACCCTGATCCCATCCTCACCAGAGATCACCCAAAAGTGCAAAATGGTGTTTGTCTCAGCTTGGAGAAGCTTGCTTCTTTCTATCTCTCAATGGAGAACTGTTCATCTACTGGTCATCCAGTGAAGTGATAATACAGTCCTGGAAGAACGTAGAAATCTTGACAAATGAAATGGTGGTGATTGTATACGGTATTTTCAGTGATCATTCTAAATCCAAAAAAGCAGTGAAATACCTCTGGAAATAACTGCACCCATATTCTTGTTTGAATCTTTAAAACATTTCTACAAATTTTAATATGTGCTCTAATACAACCAAATATTCTGATACTCAGTTAAAACAAAATCAGCATATTCTGAGAAGGGAGGAATGATTTATTTCATCCTAAGGCCATGTAAGACACTGGGTTGTATCCAGACTTAGCCCTGGACTATTATTTTTATCATCTCCTACCGGAATGTTCTGCATGGGGTGATGAAAATTGTAATCCAGAATAGGAAAGAGGCAGAAATAAGATATTGAAAATATTTAGCAACTCCAGCTCTGGGTTTCTCTATTTCCCTCTTTTCCCAACTGAACCCTTCCCTCCAATGGTGCTTCCTGATGAGGCATTTTTATCTCATTGCTCTGTCTTGTCCTCTGAATTTTAAACCAGTTCTGGAGGTCTGCTTCTACCTGTAATGCTTTTAAATATTTCAACTGCTGCTTATCATATTTTTAATTCTTAAAAAAAAACCCTGTTAAGTTGGAGAAATATGTTGCATATAATGAGGTTTAATTAATGCTGCTGGGAGTATTATTATTATTATTATTATTATTAT